TATATATATATATATATAAGTAAATGAGATATTGTGAATTTATTTATGATTTGAGACTACGAGGCAGTACCTCGGGAGTGCCTTGTTGATATATCTTTATTTATGTTCTTGTTTGGGGTGATTTTGTTCCATTTAATATGTAAATTCTTGTCTTTTTCCGTGATGTACTAGTTGACTTTATTATTATGTGTTTTGTGCTCCTAGTTGTATCGTGTTGGCTTTGGCTTTTTAGTACGAGATTCTTAAGAAGTATATTTCTGGGTTTTCTTACTGATTTTCGATGATTGAGTTGATTTAAATAAAAAATTTATTATTATATTTTAAATTAAATAGTTTTACATCCAAATCAGTAGTTTATCTGATGCTTTAATTTAAGTGCAATGTTATTTTCTTCACCCAAATGATTTCTAAAATAAATTTATTTCTTTGTTGATTTCTTACTTGATTTAAAAATTGTAAACTCACTTTAGTGGAATAAATTGATCATGTGGATCTTATATACATTGATATTATTGGCACGTGAATTGTCCGTACAGTTGTGATAGTAATATGGGCATAAGGTACCGTGAAAATATGGAAGTGGGTTGAGACCCGTATTTTTATGATTATGAAATGAGGTGTCACAAGGTGACTTTTATTTGAAGGGAGTATATTCGAAATATATATTTATTTGACAAGGTTATATTCTAAGGATTTTTATTGAAAAACTTATATTTGAAAGATTTATACTTGAAGTACTTACATTGGAAAGACATTTATTTGAAGAACTTGATTTAATTGGGTGTACTTGCATTTATTATTCGTTGAGTGATATTAATGGTGTTCTTGTTGTTTTGCTGTGCACATCATTGGTTGTTCTATGTTGCCCTTTTCGTTATTTGTTTCCTATTATTTTGTATATTATAGTGCACAGGTTAATAGACTAGTGAGTGTCTTGACTGTATCTCATCTCTACTCCACTAATGTTAGTCTTGATACTTACTGGGTACCGATCGTGGTATACTCATACTACACTTCTGCACATTTTTGTGCAGAGCCAGGTATTGAAGATATCGAATTCGGACAGATTTAGAGTGGGATCGCACGGATTCAAGGTAGAGCTGCTTGGTCATCGCAGTTCCTTGGAGTCTTTCCATCTTATTGTACTGTTATTTATTATTCAAACAATATTGGGTATTCGATCCTTGAGATCATTTCATGTATTCTGTTAGAGTTCGTGACTCAGTACTACCAGTCTTGGGAGGTTGTTATATTTATATGTGTTCCGCTGTTGGTTTTGATTACCTATTTAATTGATAGGAAAAAAAATGACTTCGAAATATAATAGAAATCGGCTTACCTAGTCTTAGAGACTAGGTGCCATTATGACGCATGTGGTGGGATTTTGGGTCGTGATAAGTTGGTATCAGAGCTCTAGGTTCATAGGTTCTACGAGTCACGAACTAGTTTAGTAGAGTCTTGCGGATCGGTACGGAGACGTCCGTACTTATCTTCGAGAGGCTACAGAGCTAGTAGGAAAACATTTCACTTCTCTCATTCCTTATCGTGCAATATTTATTTAGCTTGAAGCATCCACTCGTGTATGAAATTGCGCACTAGGTATCAACTATGCGCCAACGGTTCGTGATACTACAGAGAGGTTATAAGGGAGCCTGGGTTGCTCAACCATTATTACAACGTGTTGTCCAGATCGAGGATGCGGAAGTATTGAGAGATCATTTAGTTACGCACATTGGGGTGCAGCAAGTTCTGACATCTAGTTGATAAGTATGATCTTAAGAAGGTTTAATTAACTGCCTAATCGTCACAATCGTGGTAGGGTCACGAGGTGGATGTAGATCTGAAATAGTTGGTGATATTAGAGACTATGTAGTTTGTATAGGATTTCTATTTAGCGAAGGGTACATACGCAGCCAAGGTACTGGAGGAAACGAGTTTAACTATCACGAGGATGACATGCGCCAAATAAA